GATTAGTTTATTAGGAATATAATTTATGTAAATTATTATTAGTAATAAATTATGAATTTAAATAAAATTTAATATAAAAATATGCCTACTCTTCCGATTCATTCATTTCTTCCATTTCTCCGTCCATTTCTTTTAAATAAAATCTAAAAAAAAATTACATTATCGGATTAAATAAATTCCGTTTTGCATGCATGAATTAGTACAACAATAACAATTACAATTACGAAATACAAAAAGCGGTATTACATAAACTATTTCCTTTCTTAAAAAAAATTTACCAAATTAAAATATTCATGCATCATTCATATTTTAATATATATATATTTATTATTATTTAAAATAATATTTTATTAAGCATATACGATATATGGGATCGCCCGTTGCAAAAATCTTATTTTTTGACTCTTTTTTTGTAAAAAACTGTTGTATTTTTTAAATATTAATAAACAAATATTTATTCGGATAACGAAAACGCAAATAAAGTTATTTAAATTTTGTATCAGGAGTCACAATTGTTTTAAACTTTACGTAATTTAAAGCCAATTTTTCTCAAAATCGAATAATTTTAAATTTAAAAAACATCTAAAACTATTAATTATATTCAAAATAGAAATAGAGTAAAATGAGAGTAAAAATAGAAGGGGAAATTCTTTCCTCTATGAACAATGGTCACTTAAATAAGAAATGGTTATTATGACAATCAAGAATTATTCAAAGTTTTTTTTTACAAATACAGCCTAATGATATCCTCTTCTTGATTGGTAATTAACATTATAATTTATCACATCATCAGGAAATTTTATTAGGCGAAAATTTGCGCAAATTTTCATCATCCGCGCAAATTTGCGAAAGTTTTTTGTGCGGGCTTTTTCCGTTTTTTCGATTTCACTCGCGAGTTGCGAGGCGTAGAGCGATTTTCAACTAAGCTGTTTCTAAGCTAAAGAGAACGGCCTTAGCTACAAAATGACATGTTTCATCCTTGTGACATCAATATTCGCGGAGATCGTCCAGTTTAATCCGGTTTAAAGAAAAACATTTAGGCGAAAATTTGCGCCCATGTCATTTAGAAAAATCGCTCTGCGCCTCGCAACTTGCGGAAAAATAGAAAAAGCCGCACAAAAAAACTTGCACAAATTTGCGCGGGTGATGAAAATTTGTCTTATAAAATTTGATGTACGATTTATTAAATAATTTATTAAAGTTTTTTTCTTAACTAGGATTTTTAATAATATTTTAGTAGTATCCCTTAAACCGTCCATTTTAGCAAGCAAATTTGCCCGCTAAAATAATTAGAGAAAAATTTGGCCCAGAGATAATTTTTATCCTAAATCTTGGCTGAAATTGACCATGATAACTCCTGAATGGTCAGGTCACATGGTAACACCACAGTCACATCGTGATGTGTGCTATGTGACTCAAATAAGTGTCAGAATTTTGAGTTATATGAAATTTCATATGCTTCGGTCACCCAAACTCTTAAAATCGTTCCCACAATTTATTTTTAACTACTACATATCTGAACAAAATAAAGTTATTATGTAATAGGGGTACATATCCATAATAAAATTTTTGTAGGATAATTATTCCGGACAAATTAAAAAGATTTCTTGGCACATTTACATCATAAAACTAATAAAAAATTGTTGGCGAAAATCTATTTATTTAATCTTAAAATCCCAATGAATGCAAAACTTTCGAAGTTATATACAAATATACAAAATCATCAATGAAATAAATTTATTATTCATGTTATTATTTTTTGTATGAAAATCAACAAAACAACTACGATTGCTATTACAGCATAGAGGTACTTCACACGCTACACACCAAAGCTGACTTTGATATGGCGTTTTACGATCTAAATCCATATTTTTTTTTACTTGCCAACCAAGTGCACCATTGACAAGCTTCTCGTTACTCTCTCCATTCCGCGAAATGGTTCCCAGATACCAACCGTTGATTCGAAAGTTCAAAATTTTTTGTTACCTTTGGCCGCCGAATTTCTTTTTTGGTTTCTCCCCTTGTTTATATATAACATTAATTTTTAATTATAAATTTATTATTTTATCCCTTAAACGGTAAGCAATAAAGCTAAGGGAAAACCCAACCTTTATATATATTAAAATCTTTATCCAAATCTTAGTTTAAATCTTGGACTATTTTTATGTCTGTAGATCATATTGTTTTTTCTAGAATATATGACTAAATTGATCTACCAATAACTACGATAACTAATAATAATAATAAAATAATATAGATTAAAATAAAGAAAAACAGGCCACTATAAAGGCTGGTATTCAGTAGTTTCTTCTCCTTCTCTCTTATCCCTTTCTCTCTTACTCTCTATTTCTCTTTCACTCTTCATTTCTCTCACACACTTTTTCACTCTTTTAATTAAGTTAAATAATATAACTAATTCTTAGTTTTTTGTTATTTTGATACTGGTTGACATTTCCAATCTCAACAATACTGGAAAAAAATAATTTAGATTTGTGTTTTCAATTTTTCAATTTGAATAATAAATAAATCATTTTATTTGTTTCAAGTATATATACAAGTTAGAAAAATTAGTTTTGGTGAGGACATAAATCATTTTATTTTTTTCAAGTATATATACAAGTTAGAAAAATTAGTTTTGGTGAGGACATACAGTATCTTTAGTGATAAAACATTTAATGTGATTTGTTAGAGAAGAAATCTAAGAACAAAATTTGAGTACTCAAACATAAATTAATTAAATAAATAAATAATCTTTAAAGAAAGTTTTTGATTAAGTATAATATTGGATTGAGGAGAATTGTTCTGCAAAAAAAAAAATAATAGTCAGTCGGATATTAGTTACCACCTGAAAGATAGAATGTCGCAACTTCTCAAAACCGTGACCACAATACAATACACCAAAAATGTCATCATGAAAGCGACAGCAGTAACCTAATCACTAAATCAATTCAATTTACGAATTTATTATTATTCGGTTCCAGTCCACAGAACTAATAATCATCATAGGAAGAGACAATACACAATTGGAATTAAATCAAGATATTTTCACGATAGTATATCGCAAATTCAGTTAAAGCCATGAAATTGATTGTGTATTTTTTTTAATTTTAAAATTAAATGATTTTGAGACTCGGATAATACCTTGAAAATAAATTTTTTTAATTATATAATCATTTTAAATAATTAAGTCGTTAATTATACAATTCTAATTTTAATAATTTTATCATGATAAATGTTGGTCAATCCTTGATTTGATATCAAGTAAAATATTGTCCATATCCATTTCTTTTAATTGTCATAACCAATTAAATGCTGCATTGTATCAAGGCATAGTGCGTTTGATGAGTAAGTTGAAAGGTAATTTTATAATATTGTAATTTATATAATGAGAATGCATTATATATTGGGATGGTTGTGAATTATTTTAATCATCTTGAACATATTAGATGCTAAAAGTGATGCAGAGATTATGAACAATATAGTCAAGGTATATCAAAATGTTATTATAGCATTAATATTAAGATTGATCCGAAATTATTGAAATCAATTATAAAGGAATTAATCAAAATTGAGATATTTAATCACTTAATTCCTTACAATAAAATCAGTCAATCAAGTAAATATATATAAAAATTCAAATTAATCAAATTAGAGAAAGAGAAATAACGATGGAAATTTTTGGCTCATGAATTAGCAATTAGCACGAAGATTACATGATGTTGTAGGCGTACAATTAGGAAGAATCTTAATTGCAGCAAACAGATACAAATAAAAAGATATTGTTTTTGATAATCTAGAAATTTTCGCTTAGATAATCAAAGTATTTAGATAGAAAAGCTTTTAAATAATAAAGCCATTATTGAAAGTTATTGTTAAAGGATGCATTATTTGACATAAACAAATCAATTCTTGATGTAAGGTTTAAAAAATTTTAGGTATTTATTCATGAATTTAAGTAAAGGTTGTATTTAACGTTGGAAGAAGAAATTAAAGAAAGCCACCTAAGTTAGCAACAATAATAACAATTATATTATTCTGAAAGAAAAGACCTTTAAATCGTAAAAAAAATACAGAAAAAGTTCGTTCATTTAATAAATTGTGATTAAATTTTTGAACCTGACTTAAATTCACAGCAATCATTGTTTTCAATAATTTATAATATCATACAATATTAATAAAGTATTAGGTTATTTCGTGAATTGATTTGTTGTGTACACTACATCTTGTCTGATACATAGAATTAATATATTTTATTTTAATTGTAATAACTTTACAAATTCATAAAATTCATAACAAATAAAAAATAGACAAAAAAATTTCATTTAAATAAATTTCTAAACTTTTAAAAATTTTTACAATTTATTCTATTCTCGAAAATTAATCCATTAGCTGGTGGCAAAGAAAAAGGTCCAGAACGTATCTTTTTTTCAATCTTTCCAATTGGTGTCTTAATGTGATAATTTAAAATTAATTTATGCATACCAATTTTAATTTCATTTACAGCAAAAAATCTGTTTAAAAAAAAAAAAATTAATTTAGTTTAAAAATTAATTTAGTTTATTTAATTAATAAATATAAAGCTCACTGGTGATGATTGGCAAAATTAAATTACGTGAGCAAAGTTAAGGTTTGATGTTGATCAAAGAATTATGTAATTTTGCCTGGCGGTGACAATCACCACTGGTGAGCTTTAGAAATATTTATATGAAATTATTAAAAATATTAATTCACCAACCTTCCAGGGCAAGCACGTTTTCCTGAACCAAATACAAAATAATTTTTATCAGTTTTTGATGCAGGAAAATTATTTTCCAAACCACGATAGGGAAAGAATGACCTTGGTTCTGGTCCATATGCTGTGGAATCGTAATGAATATCCATTAAATAAATTCGAACTGTACGACCTGTCAGATCAGATATTTATTTTTTTTTTTTTAAAAAAAAAAAAAAATATTAATATTTTTAATATTATCAAATGGAAAAGATTATTGAAAATTTCTAAAAAAATGGAATGTACCTTTTGGAATTGTCATGCCATTTTTAAATGTATATGATTCCAAACATCTGTGGGGAATGATAGCTGTTGATTTAAAAAATTATTCTCAATTATTATTTTTTAGTACTTAACACATAAGATATATATTTATATATAATTTACATACTCAAAACAGCATCATAAGTCCTTAAAGATTCTCTCACAAAACTATCCAATTTCACCATTTTGTTAATATGTTGAGGTGATAATTCTCCATTGCATTCTTTATCGATTCTTATTTGTTCTTCGTAAATATCATCCCATAATTCTGGCCTTCCAGCAAAATCTATTATAAAATAAAAATATTAATTAAAAAATGAGGGAATGATTATAATTTAATGAATATAAAATTTTTACCATAAAGAGCAAAAGACATATGACGAGCAGTTCCGTGAATAGAGACAACAACAAGAATAAATAAAAATTCACAAATTTTATTCAAGTAATCATCAGAAATAACTTTTGTTTCGTATTCAGGATCATTCAAAAGATATTCAATTATATCCAGCTATTGTTATTAAAATATAATTAATTTTTCTTTGATAGTGTTGAAGTTATATATTCATACTAAAATTTTCTTTTTTTAATACTCACGGGTGGTTCATATTTATCACCAAGAGTTTCTTTATCTTTTAATCTTTTCTCTAATACAGGTTTCAAATATTTCTTTAAAGTAATCATATGTTTCAAAGTTGGATTCCATCCAAATCTAAATGGTAAAGTGATAACTTGGGTATGGACTTTTGGATGAATAAATGAAAGAATAGGAGGTATTGCGAGAATTGATGAAAAATCTTTGGTAAAATCAGCAAAAGCTTTGACCACATCATCGTTTTTTGATATTTCCTTTAATATAATTTAAAGATATTAAAATATTATTCCATATTTATAATTTAAAATTTATCTTACCTGTCCAACCAGAACATCGGCTACTGGACGTGCGATCATGCTTAAGAAATCATTCTTCACTAATTTGGGTTCTAAACAAATAAAATAATATTATTAATATTATTTCAAAAAGTAAAGAGAATGAAGGTGACTTACTAGAACAATCTCCAATTTCCTTATTAATAGAAATCATAAGTTGTTTTTGCATTCTTCCAGTGTATAAAGGTAATTTTGCAGCAATTCCTTCACGTACTGTTTTGACTACTTGTTCCAATGTTTCAGGATACTCACAAATTTTTAAAACATTATGCAAAGGAAATGACTAAGTTGACAATGTACAAGAAATATATACAATATAAATAAGTATAAATACGATATTTAATATTTGAAATAATTGATTGATTGGTTGAAATTTATTTACAACTCCATTTCGTAGTTCGTCGGCCTGGCTAAAAACATCGGTACTGTAAACTTCATGAGCAGTTTCGTTTCCGACTATGGTATTCACCTGACCATATATATATATACTGAAAGGATCACCGTACTACGCATGCAATTTTTTTTGTTAATTTATTTCGTTTTTTTTAATCGTGAAATTTATTATGATGAATGATTATGATTTACTTGTTTTCTACATCCGGCCAAAAAATTTTCGGTATTAAATATATAATCTAATGTATGTCCAATTATTGGAATTTTATAAGGAACCATCGGAGGTTCATTCTAAAGAAAAAAAGAATGAATTAAAATTATATGACAAAAATATATATATATATAAAAAGTTACTTACTTTACTTATTCTTGGCTTCTTAATCCAATAAAAAATAAAGGTAGCTACGAATACCCACACGAAGGCTGGAATTGTTTCAAAAGAGAAATACATTTTGATACATTTTAAAAAAAATACTCATACAAATGATTTTTTTAAATTAATTTTTGACTTATTTAATGAAGCCTTGGATTTGTGAAAAATTTCATATGAATTAAAAAGCTCATTTATTCGTCATAGACTTTAGCCATGCTTACCTCATTTTCTTGGCATTATACTAAATAATAGAAATTATATAATGATAATTTATCTGATCACGTGAAAATTTGATTTTTTAATTAGCTAAATAATTTTCACACGAGGATCAGTAAATTAGGGTAGCCGCGCAACATGTGATGTTGCGTAGGACCAGTACATTTTGTTTTTTATATATATACAGTATTTAGGTTTTTTGCGTTAAATCTCCCCATAGGCCTGGCCGGGTCTAATGGGCAGTCCGGACCACCCCGGATTCGTTTAATTTATTATTACGATAATTATTATCGAAATAATAATTATTAATAATTATTAAATAATTAGTATGTTTTGTCATTAAAATTCAATAACAATTGTTAATATAGTAATGATAATTATTATTGAAATAATAAATTATTCGAAAAAATAATTATTCCGATAATTACTATGCTATATCGTGATGATTAACAATTAAATAAATAATTATTATGTCATAGTGTAATAATTATTAATCAATAATTTAATATAATATATAATAATTATTTAATAATTACAATAATTATTATGTCATTGTTAAAATTTAATAATTGTTAATTATCTATCTACATAAAATTATACGGATAAGAATAATTACGTAAATTTACACACAGGATTATACGTAAATCGCAATATTACGTTTATTTACGCCTCCGGATGTTGTTTGTTATTTGCTATAATTGATTACTCTATTTTCATCAAAAGATTTTTTACAAAAGTAATTTAACGTAATTGTAGATATTTAATTAAAAAAAGATTAACGAAAAAAAAAATACGAGACTTTATCAATTTAATAAATATTATATATTATTTTTACTGTATATACTATTTTTATTACATAGATAAATTTATCACGTTACTCCGAATCACATTAATTAACTAATCAAAAATAATGAACGATGACTGATGACTAAATAATGTTATTTTTATAAATAATTTGAATATTCTTCGAGAGCAATATAGTACTTCAATCTGTTGGAAATAAATTAATAATATTAGATAGCATTAATGTTTGATCCAGAATTTATTGAAATCAATTATAAGGTATAAGGTATAATATAATAATATATATTATTATTTTTATTTTTATTTTATTAAATTAATTAATTATTTACAATAAATCAATCAATCAATCAGGTAAATTATACATGTGAATTGATTTTTTAAAAGAAACTAGAGAAAGAGGAATATATCAGAATTATGGATATGTTTGGCTGATAAATTAGCATTAAGATTAAATTGATAAATGAATGGATTGCGGTTCATATGTTATATGTTTATATATATATTTAATTCATCAAATATACGAATACTATAAATCCAAAAGTTGATCATTACAAAATAAATCAACTTGAGAAATAAAAAATTTGCAAAACTTCTGACGTTGATAAATCAAAGTTAGAAATATTAGAATCATATGGAAGGAAGCATTATATATAGGTCAAAGAAAATAAAAAATAAATATCGATTGGATGGAAAATTTAATTATAATGATTTAAACGGGAAAAGCAAATTCGGGTTTTCTTTATTTATATTTACTTTATATTTATTACTATTACTATATAAATAATATCGATCTCGATTAATAATTTATTTAATTTAAACGGTTATTTTCCAGACATAATAATCCTTACATATAAATGCTCGATTAGACTTAATATCATTATTGAAATTATGAGATTTACTTTGAAAATGATAACAATAATTATAATTAAAATAACAACTATAAAAATGACAATTATAATAATGATCAGCAACAGCAATGATGAAAGAAATCAAAACTTAGACGAATATTATTAAAGAGCCAAAAAAATCAATTCGATTATCAAAAGGGGCATTTTATTATTATTGTTCAAAAATAGAATAGAAATACAAGTTAAAACAAATGCGAATTATGCTTAAAATATCATCTTTCCAATTCGATCAATTCGAAACTCTTCTTCATACCACAACAACATCAATAATTCAACAAATATTAATACAATGGATAATAATAATGGTTTAGATGATATTTAGAATATTGAATTTGGGATATGGCAAACATTTTATTTTATTTCAATGATTTAATTTCATCTAACGCTATTTATCATGAGCATTGTTCTTTAACCACTACCACTGATTATGCTACTACTACTAATACTACTAATAATATTAATATAATAATAAATTACAGGAAAGCATTTTAAGAGTAATTAGATCATTTAAAAATTCATTAATTCAATTATTGTTATTTATTTATTTATAATAACAAATCTTTTCCTTATAAGTTGAGAAACGGATAATAATAATTATTATTATTATTCATGACGTCATAGAACAACAGCAACGCCACCATCAAAAATATCGAAGTACTGATGTATAAAGATATTTTCGCTCAAGTACAATAACCTCGAATTCGGATTTATTTTTAATTGATTCTGGAACTCGGGAGGTTAGCAAAATTGATTTACTATATCTTTTGATATCTTTTGATATCTTTGATTGGCAATAATTACTTATTTATTTTGATCTGATTTTAATTAATAATTAATTTATTCTTTAATTATGATTTATCATTAAATGTTGACTAATCCTTGGATTCATATCAAGTAAAATGAATTATTGAACAATTAAAAAAAAGGATGAACATCTGGAAAAAGATATTGTACAAAACGTAGTGCTTTGATAAATGTTAAGGTGAAAGATAATTCTATATGCAATATATAACAGAGTTTGTGAACTTTTATTTTAATTATTTTAATCATTGTTCTTATTTAAAAGATTTGAACATATAATGGTGGCATTTTTCAATTCCGTATTATTTCATCCAAGAAAACAATTAACATTAAATAAATTACAATTTCTTCAATATTATTAAATATTAACAAGATTATTTCTGGATCTCAATTAAGAAATAATATTATTGTTCTATTCTTATTATATTTTTTGATGATAATAATAATTCAATAATTAAAATAAAGATAAACATAATAATTAGCATGGGTTTCATTTTTTTTTAAAAAAAAAAATAATATTGGGCCCTCATCACAAAGAATCATCACAACTTCCATCACTTCTTTTATCAAATTCCACCACCACAAAAAAGAAACTTGGTGAAATAATAAAATAAGAATAAATAAACACACCATTCTATTTCTCACTTCATGAACACAAATATTTTTCATTAAATATATTTTTATTTTAATATATTTTCTAAAATAATAAAAATAAATAAAAAAAATAACAAAAATAAAGATATTATGAAGATATGTAAAAAGAATAAATTATAAATTAATTAATTAATTAACTAACTTAATTCAGAATCAATAACTAAATAACAAAATTCATTATCAAATTTATCAATTAGCTAATTTATAAGTTTTCTAAATTTAAAATGTATCATTCCATAATAATTTCCTTTTCATCCAATAATCAATCATCTTATTGAAAACTCATTAAATTGATTAATTAATTAAAATAATAAAATAATTAAAAATAATTAAGAATAAGAATTAATAAATTCAAAAAATTTAAAATAAATAAAATCAATAAAATCATATTATCCCATAACAACATCACACCACACTCATTCCCACTCTCACCCACGAATACATTTCTATACACTATACATTTGTATACAGGATATCGCATTGAAAGTGAAGTAATATATCACACATTTCTAATAATCAGAAACATTAAATTAATCTCAATCAAATACTATATAAATATATATAATATAAAATATATATATATAATTACCATATAATTGACTGAAATTCACAATTCTATTTTATCAATTGATAATCTTTTCTTCCTCCTTATCAAATTTGTTAAGAAAATTATCATTGATATTATTATTCTCATCATTCTCACCAATAATCCTAATTAAATTATGATTTATGCTAAATTGACTAAAAAAGAATTCATTATCAAAATTAAATCTATAAAATTTTACATCTTAAATGCATTTATATCATATTTCGTACGAAGATATTTTTTTATCTTCCGATGATGATGAAGATCGATCAACAGACAAATCAGATTCAACTGATAAAACCAAGAATTAACTTTGGTGCCATATTACGTCGATTAATTGTTCATCAGTTTCACCTCTATAAAATATATACATTTTAGAAATATTAATATAATTATACCCTAAAATACTCCAAATCACTAAATACAGGGTCAAATGCAACGTTTACCTGCAAAATCAACCATGATATTGTGACACAAGATGACACATAGATGAAATACAAATTACTAAATCTAGATGTTACATATTTATGGCGTGTGTTATACTTGTTTAACTAAAGTTGGTTATGACCCCGATTGAAAATATACGTAATTAAGGAATTGTACTACTTTTTTAAAAAATCATATTCGATAAATTTAAAAATTTATTATTTAAAAAACAATAAACTTTCATATTACGTACTATAAGCGAACAGAAAATCTCTGAAATATGTCTAGAATGCAATGAAAAATAAAATTATAATGATGAGTGGTGCAAACCGTGCATCTCAATACATTTTAAAAATGATTTTGATAAATGGACAAGCGGAAATGATACAATAAATAAACTTATTAACTAAATGCTGATCATTTTAATAAAGTGATAGAATGGATACCTTATGATAGATTTCAAGATATTAAACGAATAGCAAAAGGTGGTTATGGAACTATTTATTATGCTAATTGGATTGATGGATAGATTCAAGATTGGGATATTGAAAATCAACAATGGAAAAGATGGGGTCAATTTGAAGTGGCGTTAAAAAAGTTTGATGATATCGTAGAAATAAATGAGGATTTTTAAATGAGGTAAATTAATATTTAGAATTTATTTGAAGATATATAATATATTGATTATGATTTAAAAATATGTTGTTTAGTTGGCAATTTTCTTGAGAACAGATGGTGAAAGGTCATCAGCTCATCTAACGGAATTACAAAAGATCCAGAAACTCACGAATATATGATAGTTTTACCGTATTATTAAGATAGAAATCTTAGAAATTATTTAAATAATAATTTTATTAATATCACTTGGGGAAATAAATTAATCCATTTAAAAGATTTAGCTGAAAAATCTTCAAAAATTCATAAATTAGATATAGTTCATCGTGATTTTCATCCTGGAAATATTTTAAAAAGTTCTCGTTTATATATATCAGATTTTGGATTGAGTAAATTAATTACAGCAAATATAAAAAATATTCAAAAGAATACCATTTCTGGAGTATTACCCTATATGGCACCTGAAGTATTAAAAGGGGAAAAATATACAAAAGACGCTGATGTTTATTCATTTGCATTTGTTGCTTATGAAATCATCACTGGACTTCCTCCGAATCACAATATTTCACATGATAAAGATTTGGCTTTTAATATTTGTAATTGGTTTCGACCAAAAATTCCATTCCACACACCTAAATTAATTACATAATTAATTATGAGATGTTGGGATGCCCAAATTACACATCGATCCACTTTCGATGAATTACATACAGGATTGGATAAATACTACTATTGGGACCGACACGAAGGACGTTATAAATTTAGTAATGAGATTACAATTCAAATTAAAGAAGCTGAAGAATTTTCCAAAAATCAAACAACAACTAATACAACAGCTACAACTCCGTTGAATTATAAAACACATCCGCAAGCAATTTATACCAGTAGACTTCTCAATTTTTCAAATCTTCCAAAACCTAAAAATGATGAAATTTTCGAAGAGAAACTTGAAGAATTAACAAAATCTTTTTACCAAATTAATTCTAGTAAGTGTCAATTATATATTTTATTATATTCATTTTCAATACATAATTAATTTTCTTTTTCTTTTTTAATTGGGCGATGATGATGACGACAATGACGATAGTGATGATAAATGATTTGGATATGTTTAATTTATAAATTTTATTTATATTTTTTTTTTCGTATTTTACTCATAAATTATAAAGCATTAGGAATAATTCTTTTATTATAAAATCTTAACATTAAGCATAAAATTTGCAATTATGATTTTGTTTATCAAATAAAATATCATAATTTTTTTTTATATATTACAAATAATGAGTTCTAGCCATTAAGATTTGTAGATTTTTGATTTTGTAATTGTATTTTTATTATATTTAATTTATGTATTTTATCGTATTTTTTTTAGTTATTTTAATTCCAATGTGGGTGATTAATTATATGATGCTATAATGGATGTAATTCCTCCAGCTCAAAATTAATCATATCCTAGAGTTCATCTTGTAGTACTTTAATTTATATTTCTTTCGCATTATTTAGTATTATCTTTATTAAGGATTTTTTGTTTTATAACTTTGTTTCTTTTATTATGATATTTTTTTTTATTGTTACATTTTATTATTTTACTTATTTTACTTTAAATATTAAAATCGAAAACGATTGAAAAAAATTGAAAGGCATCAAAAAATACTGTTTGTTTCTTTTTCACGTTTTCTCGTTGATATTATATCTATATTGAGAAATTGAATACAAAATCCAAAATGGTCTATCGTAATTTATAACAACTTTAAATTTTTTTTCGATAATAATGGTGGTAAATTACATAATAATGAAATATATTATTGTGCTCAACAATGGATGGAAAACAATCAAATCTCTAAAAAATGAATCATCTCTATTGTCAAGTATATCTCATCCGCGATCTTGCTATATTAGTCGAAGTATTCATGCTCTTCATGGATTTCATAATTCATTAGAAGATATAAAATCTGGAAAATCTCAAGGTATGGTTTTACCATGATTTTAAAATTATATTAATTTAATGAGTGAATAATTACAAAAACTTTGAATTTACAGATCCTAATTTATTAAAATTCAAGGAAACATCTACTTCGAGTGTTATACATATATTTTATAATAATGATTCTAAAGAACCACAAGAATGTATTGATTGGGAAAAAATCAAGCAAAAAGACGATTTAATTGTGAATTCCAAAAATCCAAAGAATGCATTAATTTGGGCAAAGATAATATTATAATAAAATAATATTAATATTTGATTATTTTATATTTATTTTTAATTCGTGGAGAACCGGACAATTTCATTAATAAAAATTGGAGATATATAATATAATATTTATTATAAAACTGAATCCAAAAAACACAGTAAATTTAACAAATAAATTTTTTTTTCTTATATAAAATTATTTCTAAATTAAAGGAAAGTTTATCTTGATTCTAAAAATTGCCAAATAACATTATAAGAGATCATAATTTGTCGTCCGTAATTCCCTGAAATCCCTAACTTGTGACATGACCACTGATGATGGTGATCTTAAGTAATTTTCATCAACCCTTCTTGTTATTCACTTATTTTACTAACAAAAAACAACTTTAACTAAATTAAATAAATTATATAGACTTTTGACTACTAGGAAGCAACGTTGTTTAATGAGATAATCAGCTATGATTTATTAAATACGATGCTCGAAGGAGCAAATTGATCAACTTTTAACTTTGATGTAGCGACGTGAAAAAATAACGAAAATAATTATCTATCCAAAAAAAAAAAATTCCATGAAAAAATCATTTAGTTTTTGCGATTTTATTTAAAAATAAATATTTTATATTTTATGTAAAAGAAGATAAAAATAACAAGCATCATATTTTAAAATTGATTTACTTACCTCCTCAGCTTTATCTACTTCTATTCTTCACTGGAACCGCTATTACTAGTACTACTACTAAGTAATAATTGAAAAGATTCAAATTTATTAAAATTTATTCATTTCATTTTCATTTATTTATTTTTCCTATTTATTTAAATCATTAGATATCCAAGTATTAATAGTAATAGACATCATTAGCAGTGGGCATTATTATTAATTATTAGTAGTCTTTTATTACTATTACCGTCTTCTCTTGAATAAATCAACCGTAAAAGTTTGTGCATCCAGAAATTTCCTCATAAATTGAACTAAATGTTTTGTAAATAAAAATAAACAACTTTTACAACATGAAATTTACTGTTATTATTAATAAATCATATATATTTATCCAATAATTACTTCAAATGAAATATAAATTGTAACAAGATTTTTATTTGCTATTGTGAAAGAGCAAGTCAGTCCTGCATCTGCCAGTTAATTTTTTCGGGTGGTTCTATCGATATACGAAGTTCCAGAGACAAGGTAAGTGAAAATGAGTAAGTTTTTTTAGCTCTAAATAATTTAATACTTATTGTTGATATAAAAATTTATTTATTATTATAAAACATAAAACTGCATGTTATATTTCGTTGTAATCATTAATATTTGTACAATAATGAAATCTGCTGTTTACAATTTACAAATTGCTTAAAAAGTAACTTAATAACATCTACTCTACAAATGCCATACATTGAGAAAAATTTCATGGCCCATTTGCAAGTCCGTAAAAAAATTGATAAAGGGTAAAAGAATTGATTTTAAACTGTACGGAAAAAAAAAGAAAAGATTCAATATGAAATAAAAATCTTTTATGGTTTTTTGATACTGATTGTGAGCCTTTGCCATGATACAATATCTTCACGTTCAAATGTTGTATATCCGTCATCCTCAGCAAATTTCCAATCACATCTAACCTTCTCTGGAGGATGACCTTTTACCTTTTTTACCCCTTCGTATTTCCAGTGAGTGTTGACGAACCCACAGGTGATGGGTTCAACATATTTATTACAGCGTGGACATCGACATTTATGTTCGTTATAATAAAAATCAAAGTTGCGGTAACCCCACATGATTATGACTCGATTTTCGTAAGCTTCGCAAAGAATATTTTTACAATATCCTTTGTGCCCAGAGAAAATATGAAAGAAAAATGTGAGCTTATTCCTCAATTTAATTTCAGTAACATCAAATTTACCTTCAAGATTGAGACCATGAGTTGCTAACTTCCAACTAGGGGTAGCTTTAGACTTCGACCACGGTAGTTTCTGGATAGATTTGCTCAAATCCTGAAACTGATAACCGATGGGTGATGGTCCTTCGGTTGGATTTGTTTCAAAAAGGAGACCCATTTTAAAAAATACCACAAAAATTCTAATTTTTCGCTTGATAAATAATTTTCTTAATCAATTTTTGCTTAAGAAAAATATTTTAATGAACCTTTGGATTTGTGCAAACTTTCAAATGAATTAAAGAGCTCTTAAACTTTTAGCCACGCTTACCGCATTTTCTTGGTAATTATAAATTAAAATTGCTTCTCCGATCACACGAGAATTTTTTAACTATATTTGAATTTGATAAAAAAGATTATCATGTTTTTGGCTAGTCTTATATGATTATATGATGATATTTTTTAATTTCTTAATTAGCTCAATTTAGAAATTTCTTATTTTATGATTGCAATTTCACACGAGGGAATTCAGTTAAAAAGCCATGATTTTAAAATTATTAATACAGAGATATTAGATAATAATAATATAATATCTTTGAAAATGGTTTATTAATTTTTAATTATATAATTTTAATTAATTCGTTAATTATAATATTTATAATATTGGCCAATCCTTGATTTAGGCATAAGTAAACATTTTTTAATTTTTCTAATCAATTAAATGCTACGTTTGTATGAATTTTAATTTATAGGCATACATATAATATTGTAAAATGGAAATTCTTCTATATTGTTTGTTAATTATTTTAATCATTCTTTAATTTTTTTTTTTGTATTTTTCTTTAAAAAAAGGATTTGAACGATACGTGATGTTGGAATTATGAACAATACAGTCGAGGTATTATTATTATTTGTTGTAAAAAAAAATATTATTACATTAATATAATGTTGATCCGAAATTATTGATTAATCAAAATTAAAATATAAAATATAATATATTTATTACTATTACTTTATTGTTAGTCATTGATTAATTTATTAAAGGAAGGTTCAAAGAAAATAAAAAGTAAATACATTTGATTTATTATAATTAATTACTATTGAATAAATTTATTACTAATATAATTTTTAAATTATTTAATATTTAAATAATAGAAGAGTAGAAGATATAATAAATATTCGATTAAATAAATATCGAATTGATGGAAGATATATTCAAATAACAGAAATTATACTGATTAAATGAAAGATACAATTTTAGCGGGTGAAAGCATTAATAATAATAATACTTATAATGATGATGAAAGAAATCGAAACTGAGATATAAGATTAAAGACACAAAAGAAATGATGAAAGACAATGAAACTGAAATTCCGGTTCAAAATTTAAAAAATATTTTAATAATCGAAACGAACCAATTCAAAGTTTATCATCACTTAAAAATTCGATGAAACTTCGGTTGAATGAAATGCATGTATAGTACACGAATCTTTCAATCATCATTGAAAGGAACACAAGAAAATAACGATATTAGGGGATATTATTTTATTTTTATTGTTATTTATTTATTTATAATAATATATTATTTATTTATTTTACAGGTGGAGAAACGAATAATAATAACAAAATAATAATTTAATTTATGGCGCCAAAGTGCAATAAAACCAATTTTGAAACAGCAACACCATCAAAAATGCTGAAAACATACCGTTAGATATATTTATCAATAACTAGTTTTATGATTAATAATAAAGATGAAGTTTATCATCGATATTTCAACGACGAGAAATTGCCAACGCCAGCAATAATACTAACTCCTCCAATGACAGCGACACTAATTCTGGCAATAATGATATGATGATAGTAATAATAATAATGGATCCTTGACAGTTGTAACTATAATTTCATCATCACCACCGCACATTATTTTATAGATTATTATTATGGGCGTAATAATGATGATTGAGATGTAATAAATTATTATTACTACTTGTTATTCACAATTAATGATTTATTTAATTTGCGTTGTTATTTTTAGACAAATATCAATCCTTATATATATATGACTGATCGATCAGATTTAATAACATTACTAAAATTATGATAGCAATAATTATAATGAAATTAATAGCAATGAAAACAGCAATAAAATCAGCAACAACAGGACATGACGATGAAAGAAAATGTAACTGATGAATAAGTTGAATAAGATTAATGATACCAAAGAAATTATGAAACAGAAAAATAAAGTTCACTTAAAAATTTCGGTTGAAGAGTCAATCTGAAAGAGGAACAAGAATTATGAAAAATACCATCTTTTCTGATTCAATCAATTCGATTACCATTCTTATTCTTTATCAAATAATAAAAATAATATCAAGAACAAATATTAATAAATGTTTAGATGATATTAAACCCTATTCTTGAATTTAAGTTGGACATGATAAGTATTTTATTATTATTTAAACCCAAAAATTTAGATTCAAAACTACAATAATCGGAAATAATTAATTTATTTCTTTTTTTAAATCTATTCAACTCATTCATCATCTCAAAAAACTTTTATTTTTTTTATTTATTTATGATATTTATTTTTTTTTATAATATCTTTTATTTTAATTTCCATAAGGTGGAGAACAGATAATAATTTTCAACTATAAAAAATATAATCACCAAAATATAATTATCAAAAATACCGCAAAAGCCATTATTACTATTAAATTAATAATTGGAAGGAATGATTAATAAAATAATAAAATTTGGTTAATTTAAATACTTTAATGCTTATAATTACAATCATTATTTAATGATTATAATTTTTCAAATTTGAAAATTTATTACTTATTTAATATTGATTTAAAACATAATACAACATTATTATGATTTGATGCAATACAATTATCTATATTAAAACACATATTTAATTAAAGATAATAAGAATTTCTTAAGGAGAACTTCATAAAATTTCTAAATCATAAAAATATACATAATTCATTTTAATTATTGTAAAAAAGAAATTTATTTGAAAATAATATGACACCTCAAACAAAGAAAATATCATGAAACACGTTATTGTAAAAGGATTTGTAGTCATAAGATATTTTAAAGCATGATACTCCTCATTACATTAAAGGAAGAAACATTATATAAAAAGAATTTGTTGGGGATCAATAATCAAATCTGTGAGAAAATTATATTAAAAATAAAATATTCTGTTATATAACATTATTATTTATATATATAAAAATGGTTTATGTAATAAGTCTTATTACAAAACTAGTAAGCCATTATTATAAAACTGGTAATAGTTTATGTATAATAGGAATGATCTGCATTATCGATTATTAGTTTGTTTATGCATAATCAGGAATGATTTGCATTATCAATTATCAAATGGTAAAATACTATTTAAACTCCTATCCCATAGTGGTTGTTTACTTATCACAAAAAATGAAGGGATAACTTTAAATGAAAAATTTTGAAACGAAAGTTTTGAAATTTTTTTTTAAATTATACATTGAATAATTACTTTTTTTTTTGTTTCCTCTTTCATAATTTTACAATATGATACTAGATAATTACAAAAATTCTTTATTTACATTATTTATATTAAATATAATAAACAATATATTAATATTTTCAACTGAACTTTTTGAACTAAAATGTTATATAAGTAATATTATGTCTAACAAAGTCCAATTTCAGAAAATATCTTTTTTTACTTTCAGCAAATTTTTTTCTTCAATTTCAACTAACTATATCAAAAAGTTAAAATAGTCTACTGCAAGCTCAAAAAATTTTTCAGATCACACATACATTATTATAGAAGGAGTTTTACTACGAGAAAAAAAATAGTAAATATAAATATTTAATTTATTTTTTAAAGAAGTAGAGATAAATCTATATAAAAAACATTATTTGAGATAAAATAATGTCAAAATATTATTTAAAGAAAAGAAATTATAATAATAAATATATAACGAAACTTTTCGTTATATATTGAAACATGTAATAAATATAATTATATTTTATACATATATTATACAAAGCCACATAATACAAGAAAATTCAAAAAGAAATGTAACAATAACAATAAAGAAGTAACGGTGACATCATCAACACCAGATTCAACTTAAAAATTTGCTTCTACTTTAATAATAGCAACAACAAAATTAACCCCTGCATCAACTTCAACTTCTACTGCATCTACTTCTACTGCATCTACTTCTACTGCATCTACTCAAATTCCCAAAAGAAAATTCCAATCATCATTTTCATTGGATGTTGAAACAGACAAAAATAAGAAAACTAATAAATTTGGAAGTTAATAAATGTTATATATTGGTTTTAAAGATAATTAAATATATTATAAGATAATTAATACTGAATTTCTTTGATTTAGATGAAAAAACAAATCAAAAAATAATAAATACACTATTAGAAATAAAAAAAGACATTACTGAATTAAAAAAAGAAGTATCTAAAATATACAAAAGTGTAAATAATTCCAAAGAAAAAAATAAGGAAGCAGAAGAATCATATTTAAAAGTAAGAATTTTGTTATACTTTATTTTTCTACATACATATATAAATAAAAAATAACCCAAATATTTTTACAGAAAATAGTTCATATTGTATCAAAACCTATTATGGAAATGGATATGTATCTGGACATTGAAAAAATAAATCAACAAACAAAGGACTACTTAAAATCAAAAGACCTCAGATTTATTGCAAAATATTCAGATAATAAATGGAATCATATATTTAAAAAAAGCATTCATAGAAAGGTAAATAATTTAATTAATAATTTACTTTATATCAAATGACATTTAGTGAAATATTATGTTAAATAACATTTTATAATATAAATTCTAGAAAAACTTCAATCAATGAGGGGCAATATAGTTGTCAAAATTAAATTGATAATATTTTCTACCTTTGACGAAAATTTATTATCAAGTATTAGTAACAACGCTATGATAAAAGAAATAATGGATTGGAAGAAAAAAAATAAAATTAGAAAAGTGTTTAAAAAACTATATAAAAAAATAAATGATGATGATGACAAAGAAACATCAACATGGTGTAATAAAATATTACAAAAAATATTTTCAAATCCTGCTAATGAAGCAAAATCCCTCCTCGCATTTACTGTAGGAGCAATCAAAATAATTCTTG